TATATATATACACACACACACACACACACACATATATATACATATACATATATGCATGTATATACATACATATGTATTTTAACACACATTTATAAGGTATTTATTCTCATTTAATTTAGCTGCTATTAAATTAAATATATATAATTGTACATAGCACAATTTTAATTCTTATTAATAGTTTTTAGTGTATATTTCTTATTATATTACTTATTTATTTGTATTTCTTTCTTTTTAGTTTATATTTCTCTCATTTTTACATTTTTACATTATATTTATATTTTTTAACAGAAACAATAATTATATTGTCTATACTCTATATACATAACCACAGAAATACATTGTTACCGATAACAATATTCTAATTACAATATTTACTACATATTGAGCGAGATTATTGATAACATTAATACTGCGATTGAGAGCTAATTCTCTTTGTAATAATTTCACCATTATTTTTATTAACATTGATAATGATCCAACATGGATCAAAATATTTGTTTTTATTTTGTTTTGTTTATTACCGGTAAATTAAAGTTTTATATTGTAACTAAATGACATGTTTATTTATTAACGTTTTCAATTTTTAATTTATAACAATTAATCTTAGGCTCATAGCCTTTCCCTTTCGGTTTTTACATATATATATGTATAAATATAAATCTATTACACCCTATTTTCCATTGTAATATATATTATATTCGATAACATGTTATAATAAAATATTATCATTATTGAACACATTTACAGTTAAATAATTTTATACGTGTGCACATAAGTGATACCGGGTAAATATGTGAAGCAAGGCAGGCGTTATCTCTTCAAACAATTTTATGAAATAATTTAATATACTCACATTTTTATCAGAAACTTGCAACTTTCCTGGAGAAACATCGAGATATTGCGCTATTCTTTCTACACATTCGATATTACACAAACCCATGATAAACAATAATGTAAACGCAATATAACTTTCAGAATTTAGAAGAAAAGTTGAAGCTAGAGATGAGTAGTTCGCGAACGAACGGTTCAAATGAACGAATCATTTTCGTGAACTAGATGAACTAGTTCACAATTCTCAAACTAAGTAGGTCAAATTGAACTACTTTATCGACCAACGACAAATGCCAAACAGGCAACTGAGGCCAAAATATTGTTAACCAGAATCTCTAGAAAACAAATTCTCCTATTGGATATCGGACGTCATATGACGGATGTCGTACGTAGGGTACGTTCAGGGAGCTCGCTACTAGCACTATCGAACGCTAATGGCTCCGGCACACCAGCGCGATGTTCGTCGCGCGCGACACGCGATATCCAATAAATGTACAGCTTTACCGATGTTCTCATTCTAAAGGTATACTCTCATTGGATATCGCGTGTCGCACGCGACGAACATCGCGCTGGTGTGCCGGAGGCATTAAGCTGGAAACACAATAGACACAGGCAATAGGCACAGGCAACAGGGAATAACGAGGAATATTCGCGTCCACCATTTTTACTCCTTTCCCCACTGTTTGTTCTCTCTTCAACCTTCTTTCTTCTTTCTTCAATCTTCTTAGTTTAGCGGCGGAATGGAGAGATAGCAAGGAATTGAGAAAAGGAGCAAGAGAGTGAGAAAAGAAGTAAAAATGGCGGATGCGAATACTCACGTTTATAGTGCCTTAGTTATCTGTTTACAAGTAATGTATAAAAACTAATCTCGTTATCAGAAAAGTTATATACTACTTCTAAAAAGTTTTGTATTTTTGGGATAACACGTTTTTCATTTGAGATTAAATAATCGTCATCATCACTACTAGATAACGAGAGAAAATCGAGTATCACTTCCATAGTTTGTTCATTCAAATCATTTTCACCAATTCGCGCCGCCATATTTTGCACGAAACCGACACCGTCTCTCGGAGCTCGTGCCAGATTTTTGCACAAAAGGGCGAACACTCGACAGTCTCGACACTAGATTCTCCAATGAAACAGCGCGCACGATCTTCATGCGTACTGAAATCCCCCAATGAAACACGCAGGCCCGTATTCAGAACGCGCTTACAACGATGTTAGCACGCTAACATACTATACTTTACGTCATGCATATTATAGAATTTCAGAGATAAAAGTGCACTTTTATCGATAAAAGCGCGTTCTGAATACGGGCCGCAGTCCGCGCAGTGATAGTATATCGGACAAACGGTTTTTCCCTCTAGCGGTATAAAAATTTCCCACTTTAACCTTGAAATTCCCTTTTTTGAACAGCAAATATAAATCTATTCACTTACATATTAAATTTCTTTTTGTGACGTTTATGCAGCCAGGAGTCAACGGACAAGTATAGAATCATAGAATGTAAAAACAGAAACTATAGTAATCGAATTGGCTA